CCTTTGTGTTTTGTGTTTGTTTTTTATTTTATTTTTTTAATTTAATTATTTCTTTATTTTTTTTGTCCCTTGTTTAATGTCTAACACATTTTATTTTCTTTCATTTTATATGTTTGTGTGCCACAAAATGTAGGGATGCACGACATATCGTCACTACTATCAGTATCGGCCAATATTGGTCATTTTTTAGAATTTCGGTATCGGTCCGATATGTAAAACTGGGCAGATATTACCATCCGATATTGATTTCCCAATTTTGAGCTTTGTGTTTCTGTTTTGGGAGGGGAGATGGTTGGTTGAGCGGCATCTGTTTAATCATAATAGTGATATTAATGCTGCGTAGCTAGGAATAACTGAAGTAGGCAGCCATGTCAGAGGTCTGGTTGTTTGTTTACGGTATCAAAAAAAGACCCAAGTGTGTTTGTGCGTATATGTATAATATAATTTGTGAGTTTGTGTAATATCGGTAAAAATCGGTTATCGGCCATAACAGCAATGATTATATCGGATATCGATATCGGCTGAAATTTTCATATCGGTGCATCCCTACAAATATGTACAAGTTGACATCTTGTTTAAACATGCCAAATGATTCTGTACATTTGTTGAAAATGTTTAATAAAAAAAAACATGGTATCGCCCACGTGACGGAACTACGTCATAGTGTGTATATCCCTATGAGATGACATCACTCGTTCAAAATCAAATGTTTTTTTATGAATGGCTCTATGAAACAAATGGATCCCTTCAAAGAGCGATTTGTCCATCTCTACCCAGAATCATGTCAGAAACTTGCTGGTGGTGGAGGAGCAACTTTCACCCAAACGTGTTCAGAAAATATTAGTTGTACTATCATTCCTCAATGTATAAAGACTGTTTCTTAAAAAATCATTAAAGATAATAACATGATCTGATCACAACTGTAGAAGAACACATAAAACAGGTCTGTTGTTGAGGTTTCAACAACACAAAGTGATCATGGACATGAACATAACAGACTGCTTCATCATCAACACTCAAATACAAGTAAACGCAGTAAAAAAAAGAATCAACTTTTTWAAAAACCCAGAGTAGTGCAGATGAGGCCGACACTAATAAAAGTAACTAAACTTTACTTTAATTCTGTTTTTGTGATCTGTGTTTTCYAGATGGAGCAGAAGCTCAGAGAGACGGGGATCACAGCAAGTCTGAACATTACCTGGATAACCCAACTTGACAAGAAAACCTTCTATAAAGAAAACAACTAGACGTGTTTTACATGCATTTAGAACCTGTTTCACTGATAGGATGTTCATTGTACTTCAGGTAGACTTTAGGAAAAATAAAAATAATCTTAGAAATCATCATTCAGTAACTGTTTTGCTTTTTATATAATTCTAGAGTGAATCAGTAATTATGTTGCTTGAATATAACAGAAGTTTGGTTCTACAGAGAAATAAATAAAGGTTAGTGTGGACGAGGCCACACSTGCAGATTTATTATGACAAATTTTCACACTTTACTTTTTTTACACTCAGTTGTAAATGTGTCTGGAAGAATGTTGGAAATTGCAAAAACATTCAWGTCTTTGCATTTCAGGCTGGTTTATTATTGGGGTAATTTACTTTGTCACAGCTGGTTTTTTTCTTTCTGTGAAGTCAATAAAGTCAAGTGATTTGTTTTTCTCAACATGGCTTTGATTTATAATTACTTAATTTCACCAAAATTGTCATTTCTGTTTTTGTGTGAGAGATTGAAAAGGTTTTTATGCTTTTTATTTAATTTATTTTACAGTATGACAGGATTTGAACCAAAGTGTTGAAAAACTAAAACACAATATAACATACAGTACAATGACCAAAAGGTATAGGACATCACAATTTCAATAAAAAACCAATTAATTATTAAAAAATGTCTTGTTGAGACAAAATAGAAGATAAATAGAAAACATTTGAAATATTCTTGCACAGAGTAATCTTTTTTCTGAACTTTAGGGTGAATAAAATCTCAACAGAGCAAATAAAAACAGTATTGTCTCCCATCAGTCTAGAGTTAAACACATGCAGTAATCTAACTGCTCCACTTGGAGGCAATAAAGATCAACCTGACAATAAGTTCTGCAGGTAATTCACCTACTGTAACAAAAGATCATTTGAAGCGTTTTTATTCACATGCAGGCAAGACAGGCATGACTGATACATCATTTTTGTTAGATTTCGATAAATAGTGGAATATATACTATCTGAATGTTTGAGTTTACTCTTCATTTGCTACTTTATAAATGCATGGACTTATTTTAGATTTTATATTGACTGCAGTCAATGGAAGACTTTTATAGCAGTAGGGACAAAACAATGTTACTGCAAGCATTTAACAACTGAGAATTGTTGATATTATTCTGTAATGTTGAGCAAAAATATCAGTTTCACAAGATCATACAG